CGCTCACTTCAATGACCGCACAGACAAGATCGTGGTTTATTTTACTGTTTATTTCTGCGGTTGTATGTTCGGCTCTTTCGGTCTGTTTTCTCCTTGCCTGATAGAAGATTTATTTGCGCATAAGGATTTCAAACGGGCAGGATTTCAAAATAATATAAACTTGTCGATGAAAATAAAATTGTTATGAGAGACGATTTCTCACCTAGCTGTTTGCACGCGCTCCCCCTGCTTTGCCCGTAACAAAGTCCATCAAATATATATGCACTTCTAATGGACGAATTTTTTTTAGTTAAGCAAATCCAGGTATGAACTACAGATCTCTTTCACTATGAGATAAAAACATACATATAAACCAAACAGTACATAAAATCTTGTGAGAAGCAGGAAATTAGTCGCCTCTCAAAGTCGGCTAGATCGCACGATCGTCTCCGAACCGCGATAAACTTCTTGAAATTGCCTTATGAAGCCAATAGCAAGCATCTAAGGCCACTATGAGATCTTGAAAATTCTCGAAATCGCTCTCTTCCGTAATGATTTTCGGAAAAGGCAACAGTGTTTTGATCCCTGGGTTTGATTCACTTCTTTTACGAGATGCGAACTCGACCGTGTCACGATTGAAATGAGGCACAGTAACAGTTTTACCCATGAACCTTTGTGGGTCGTGACGCACACCGCCTGCTATTGCTGTACGTACTGAGAAAAAAACATGAAGGAGGATTTGATCAATATCTTCGCACCTTCATTAGAGCTATTTACGCGTTGCCCATAAGAAGTCTAACAGTGTAAAAGAGCAATCCGAAAAACCAAGTTAAATGAGAAAGGAAACATTAGAAAAAATACAAGCTTCAATATTTTCGCGTACTTCCGTTTCACCAAAGTGTTTACCAGTCTTGTTTCTGATAATATATAATCCTGATTTTTGTATTAGCCAATATATTTGTCCTTTAAATATGCTCCCTGGCAACAGACAAACAAAATATCTCTAAATCAGAGGTTGTTTTCTTGGTTCAAAAGTTGCCTTAATTTAACAAGACTCTGTAAGTTCCGAGAGAAATCAAATCTGACAGTAATCAAATAAACACATCAGAGGTGAGACTCAAGCGACAACGACTCGTTTTACTCATTTATCGTTAGCTTATGCCTTTCTTGTGTTTTTGTGTGACACAGTCAGGATTATTAATATTGCTGTAGAGCTATTTATAAACTGAAGCCAGTTTACCTTTTGTTAATGATTATTATCACTTTAGCCACGTTCAAGTCCCGTGAAAGGAAGATTCTGGCGACAGACAAACAATATAGGAATCTTGGCCATGACGTTTTTTACTCATAAAAAGTGCTGCATTGGAAGATGAACAAATCACTGTCTTACGACAACAGCTCTGAAGGAAGTAAACAGTCGATCAGTGTTTGAAGAACAGAAACTACAAGCTGACTGTGAGTTTAAGTCAGATAATGAGAAACACATCTGAGGAAAGCCTAAGCGACGAAACTGCTTCATATTATTCTTTCTCGTCAGCTTTCGTTATTTCTATGCTGTCATGTTACATAATAATTTTTACAGTAGCGATTGTTGGCAATTTATTGGTTTGTTGCGCGATAATGGTGGACAGAAATCTACGAAACAATCCCACCACACTTCTTCTACTCTCTTTTGGCGTTCTCAGATTTGATCACAGTAACGGTTGTAGCTCCACTGGACTTAGAAATGTTTTTTGTACGCAGTGTCTGGGTTCATGGGGAACTTATGTGCGAGATCTTTACCATAATATTCCAGACTTCAGTGCCAACTTCTATTTGGACCCTCCTCTTCATAAGCATTGAGCGTCTCAAGAACCTCAGCGATCCTCTGAACCACTTTCGTCGTTCTCCTTTCATGACACGTAAACGAGCACTCATTGCCATAATCTTTATTTGGCTTTATAGCGTTGTCTTCGCTGCAATTCCTTCGATGGGCTGGAGGGATGCTCCTGGTGAATCACTTATTTTTGAAGGGGTTTGCTGGTTTCCTTACAAGAAAGCTTACACTGTACTCACAACGTTTCTTAACATATTTCTACCAGTAATTATCACCATTGGTATTTATATCAAGATTTATCTAATTGCACGTCAGCGAACAAGACCCGAGTTAGTTGGCGGTAGACTTCCCTTCGTACAAGAGAATAAAACTTATTTAGGAAATATGAAAGCAGCTAAGACTATCGCCATGTTTATTGGCGTTTTCTTTTTTTGCTGGCTTCCCTATTCAACGTATACTATTATCATGGGCCTGTGTGACTCATGCTGGTCATTGTTTCCCGAAAAAGAAGATGAAGTTTTCTGCTTTCTTCTGATGTGTGGCTATCTTAACTCGGCCCTCAATCCCTTTGTTTTTGCACTCCGAAACGGAAGCTTTAAGAATACCTATTCAAAGCTGTTAAGCTCAGCTTTATCAAAGTCACCCTTAAACGACAAGCGTGACGGCAGGTTGTCTTCTTTGTCAGAGTTCACCTTTGCGTCTGAAATTCCAGATTCATCTGATAGGGATGTTCAACTCCAACGGATACGACCCTCTGAAACTGAATTGCAAATCACTGAAATCATACTCCAGAATACAAGTGATTAGAATATGAGTGTGTGAGGAGAAATTTGTTGCCTTACAGGCCCGTAGTTTCGTCGAAATTAGGCGTTTTTCTCGCTATGCACAAGGAATAATAGGACATTGCGCCTACAATAGCTCCAATAGTTATACTCAGTATTGGTATGTATTAGTAATAATAATAAAAATAATAGTAATAATAATAATAATAATAATAATAATAAAATATTTATAAAAATAGGGAAATACTTAAAAGAAATTCAGTTATTGAAAAATAGTAGGTGTTTCGAGAGCTGACTCAGTATTCGAGTTACATGCTGCTTGACACTACAGTGGCTTAGATCGCCCAACGAAGCGCGCTGAAGAATGATCATGACGTGCGAGCTAGTGTTTACCTTAGACCCCCTTATTTAACAATTAGTTTATGCGTCAGCGTGCGTATGTCGAGATACTGAGGACGCGCGGAAAGTTTGGAGAACACTAAAGAGGCGTAAGACGTGCTCGAGGCGCAGCCGAGACCAACTCTAGCCTCTTGAATGCTCTCCAAACTTCCCAAGTGCTCAATATTTCGACGTACGCACAGCTGACGCTTGAACTAATTGTTTTATAACACTATCAAAGCGATCAATGCAGCAGTTAACTTAAATTTTTATCATTGTAGAGTGCACTCAAAGCAGTACGCGTCAATGTTACTTGGCTACATTTTTTTTACCTCACAGTTGTGTTTTTTACCTTGAAACTGAGAGCAATAACATTCAAAAAGATTGTAAAATCCATTTTGAGGTGCCGGAAAACTATTAATTTACCAAAAAATTCTTTTTGAAGGAAATATCTTTGCAAGAATGATTTGCACACGCCATAGCCGGCACAACTCGCGCAGAGGCAACAACAACAACAACACTCACCTCTTTTCCCTACTATCGGTTAACAAATTCAAAAGTTTTCTCTTAAATGTATGTCATAAAATAATAATAATAATAATAATAATAATAATTTTATCTATATAGCGCTAAAATCCAATAACTGTCCAAAGCGCTACCTAATTACAAAAAAGAATATATATAAAAAAAAATCTAAATTATAAAATATCTACAATATACAATATAATTCAAATATAGCCTAAGTTATCTACTATATAAATCAAAAACATCTTAAAACAAAAGGAATCTCATAACCTATATGCTAACTTAAATAAAAAAGTTTTAAGGGATTGCTTAAAAGTTGCCACTGAAGCACATTTCCTAATCTCTAGAGGTAAATCGTTCCACAATTTAGGTCCTGCAATAGAGAAAGCTCTGTCTCCATATGTTTTCAATCTGCTTCTTGGAACCACTAAATATTCTTTACATGAAGAACGCAATGACCTAGAGTACGTTTTAAAATTCAAAAGGTCAGAAATATAAGAAGGTGCAAGGCCATGAAGGGCCCTGTATACCAATAAAAGGACTTTAAAAGTTATTCTAAACTCAACTGGTAACCAATGAAGATTAATTAAAATGGGGGTTATATGAACATGCTTCGGTGTCAGTGTGACAACACGAGCTGCAGCATTCTGAACTGCCTGTAGTCTAGCTAACAGATACCTAGGAAGGCCATGTAATAAGGAATTACAGTGATCTACACCAACCTTTAAACACAACCTTAAAACACATGGTTAATGCTTCATCGTGTACTTTTGAGTTATAGATGCACTTGGGAGACGTCTTGGGAGGATTGTTAAGCTCACAAGAACTCGAGGTATAGTTTATTGACGTCTTCAGCGTGCTCAGTAGGAATATGAAGCACGCTCGCGCTATTGAATTTATTCTAGCTATGTTATAATTTTAAATAACATTGCTCATTCGTCTGTAAAATTGTTTCTTCGCCTCTTTCCTGACGATGATAAGGTCTTTCACAGCAAAGCAGCAATATAAGTACCTTAGAATTTATCTACACCAACCTTTAAATTGGAAAGTCAAAAGAACAAATTACCTGTGTTCAAAGAAAATTAGCTAAAATATTAGAATCTTGCCTAAATTAAATTTAGACACTTTGATGAGCTGGCTGGAATGTTCGTCCCTGACAGTACAGAGTCGCACACTGAAACTCCTCATTTGATTTTCTTAAATTTGAAAACATTGTTAATTTTCCAAGGAGGTAAGCTTAACGAACAATTGGACTAGTCAACAGGAATTTGCCTTTCTTTCTTAGCGAGCACGTCAGATTCAAGCTTACAAAAGCTAACAAATGTCTTCACATTATCAGAACTCTACGAAAGGAACTCTTTAGCCAGAAGGAAATAGATCACTTGTTTAAAACCCTAGTTCTTCCCATTCTCACATATGGTTTCGCTGTATATGGCGCTTCTGATTCTGATTTTAAACGTTATACAGCGTTTTTTAGACAGGTGCCATAAGCGTCATTTTACCTCTCAAACAGTTAGCATCTTTAATCTTTTAGAACAGCAAGATAGATCCGCTTTCAATTCTTTAATTCTTTAACTTTATTTGATTTACCACAAAATACAAATAACGATAAAACAAGACAGCTACACAAAAGCAAATGAAAGTGGCGAGGAAGCCCAAAAAGAAACTATGAGGCTTATAGACATTGGGCTCCCTCAGAGTAAAAATAAATTTAACAGTAACAGTAAGGCCAGGATCGAAAGTAAAATACAATGAAGGTAAGTATAAATTAACTAATTACATAGACTGAGTTGACAAAATATAAAGTATGGTACATGTAACAATAAGTAGAAAAATAATATCAGACATGTGAACAAAGATAACTATTTACTACAAGATTTATAAGTAATAATTCATATATAATTTTTTTTCAATTTCGTTTTGAATAAGTGGAGAGAATTAGATTCTTTAATATCATTTTCTATGGAGTTATAATAAGTAGGCCCTTGAAAACTGACAGAAAATTTACGAAGGTTTGTTCTACAAAAAGGAAGGTGAAAGTCGTTCGCGTATCTAGTGGCATAGCTATGGACTTGTTTGTTTAAAAAAAAATAATTGTTGAAATTTGAAGGCAAAAGAGAATGGTTAAGAGGAAACATAAGTTTACCCAATTCTAGTTGTCTAATACCGGAAAGTTTAAGTAGCTCTAATTTTTTGAAAATAGGGTCTGAATGAGAATCGAAAGTTGATTTAGAAATAATTCTGATAACTCGCTTTTGCAAAGTGACAAGACGGCGAAGATTGGTTTTGTGCGTAGATCCCCAGACAATAATACAATAATGAAGATAAGGATAAACTAAACAATAATAAAGAGTTTTTAGACAGGGTTTAGGTAGAAAAAATCTAGCTCTATTAATGACTCCTATTGATTTCGAGATTTTACGAGCTACTTGAGAAATGTGCGGTTTCCAAGACAGATGTTCATCAAGGACTACACCGAGGAAGACCGTTTCCTTAACCTGTTCGATTCTCTGTTCATTTATGAATATTTGCATTGGAAAATGATACCTTTTCTGTCCAGGCTTACATAACATAAAGTTTGTTTTCTTCAGGTTTAAGTAGAGTTTGTTTGCCTTAAGCGAAGTGGATAATTTATTAAGTTCGGAATTGAGTGATGCTGCCAGGTAGACAGGATGTTTATGGGACATAAATAAATTAGTATCATCAGCGAATAAAATCAGCTCGACGAGCGTCGATACGTTATTTAAATCATTAATATAGAGCAAGAAAAACAAGGGGCCCAAAATGGATCCCTGGGGGACACCACAGCAGATAGTTTGTGGAGAGGAGCATTGACCGTTAAATTGAACGAATTGCAACCTGTTGGAGAGGTAGCTGCTAACCCAGTCCAGAGCCACGCCACTTATACCATAGTGTTCGAGTTTGTCAAGCAGAATATTATGATCGACGGTATCAAAGTCCTTAGAAAGATCACGGAAAACGCCAACGGCATGTTCATTGCGATCAAGAGCAAGGGAGATTTTTTCATATAGGTCAATCAATGCTAACGAAGTTGAATAATTTTTCCTGAAGCCAAACTGATTATCACATAGAGTTTCTAGTTTACTTAAATAATTATAAAGACGGTTATAAACAACCTTTTCAAGAAACTTAGAAAAGCTAGGGAGAATCGAGATCGGTCTATAGTTCGTAAAGAGCGATCGATCACCGGCTTTAAAGAGTGGTATCACGCGAGCAATTTTCATTTGGTCGGGAACAATGCCATGAGTGATAGATAAATTGATTATATGAGCTAAAGGATCGGCTATAATTTGAATTGACTGTTTTATGATGGAAATGGGAATTCTATCATAGCCAGCTGCCTTACCTGGTCGAAAAGCATTGGAAATTTCCGATAGCTCATTTGGAGTCACTGGATCAAAAAACACCTATTGACAAAAGTGACCAGCGAGGAAACTGCGGTGAGAGACAGATGAGTGAATTTCTTTGGCTAGATTAGGTTCGATACTAGAAAAATAATTACAGAATCTATTTGCGATGTCTACTGGATCCGTAATTTCTTGGTTGTCAACTTTAAAGATGGAACCGATTTTAAACGCTTTCTTTTTTGTCTTAATAATTTCGTTTAGAACTCTCCATGTAGCTTTGGCTTTTGATTTAGAAGCATCGATTTTCTTTTCGTAATATATACGTTTAGCAGTTCTTAATGAGTGATTCAATTTGTTTTTGTAATTTCTATAAAGAATTTCATATTGCGAAGATTGGTTAGTGAGATACTGACTATATAGCTTATTTTTCGTTCTTATCGACTTCAGAAGTCCTTTCGATAACCAAGGCTTACTCAAACGGTAATTTCTCACCTTAGTTTTTTTTAAGGAGTCATATGCCGTAGAGTATTGTTTGAAAAAGCTGTTATAGGCATTATTTGGATCATCAAGAGTGGCATACTGAGACCAGTCAATTCTCTCCAAATGCGATAGAAACTTAGTTGTGTTGACTTGATTTACATCTCGAACAAAAACAGTTTCATTAGATGCTGAGGTTGAGGTGTCGAAATGAATAGAAAATATAGGCAGATGGTCAGAAATTTCAGTGAAAAACAGTCCACTCTTAGATCTAGCGAAAAATTGGTTGACGAAAATGTTGTCAATTAAAGTTGCCGAATGACAAGTTATTCTTGTAGGGCGCGTAATCAGTGGAAAGAACATATTTGAATATCGCGCATCTAAAAATTCACCAGTAACGGAATGACTTTGGTGGTTCATTAGATTTAAGTTAAAGTCACCCATTAAATAACATACCTTATTTTTTTTTTGAAATCTTACTTAATAGCTCATTGGTCATTGTTAAAAATTCATCAACGTTTTGACTTGGCGGCCTGTAAATCACACCAGTAACAATGTTCCTTCCCTGGGGCTTAACAATTTTAATAAACAAAGACTCCGCGACGTTTGGCAACGAAAAATCAAGATCGCATCGAAATTTAAAATTCAAATTGCTAGAAACATACAGTCCAACTCCACCACCGGATCTATTTTCCCTACTTTTATGAACAAAACTGTAACCGTCGATGTCGACTGACGACGACGAATTATTTAGCCAAGTTTCGGAAATACCAATAAGAGAGAATTATAAATTTACGTTAGATAAAAGATCCGTTAATTTGCTAGCATTACATTGTAGGCTACGAATGTTTAGTAATCATATGCTAAGTGCGGTCGGAGCTCCATAGCTAAGGTAATCTACCCATCCCAGAAAATTTGGTAATCACGTGACAGTACACCGAACGAACGAACGAACGAACGAACGACCGTCCGTCCGTCCGCACCACAGGGAAACCAATCTTTACTCTTACACTTTCTAGCCAGTTTGGGAGCCCAGGAGAAAACTAATTGCACATCAATGTTGTGATCAATTGACAGCTGTCAAAACAGGGTATCGGCTGACCAGTATCACCTGACCGTACCGCGGGCCTCAAGTGTCGACCCATCGAGGTCGAGTATTTTTTTGAAGTTATCCGTTGACAAATTACCAGTTTCAAATGATCGCAGGCTCAAGTTTATTTTTCCAATGATTCATATGAAATATGTTGTCTTTATGTCACTATGGCCCCACACTATTAAGATTTTGATTTCAAACTGACCTCGGACTCGAAAATTTAGCCAGTTTTTTTTTAAAATACAGGCGGGGAAGACCTTTTCTTACTATGGACACGCGTTGGTCACGCTCTGCGTCCAATTTTTATGCTCTGATTGGTCAAAATTTGACAGGTGAGTTCATGCGGAAAATTTATGCAGCATCTTGAAAGTTGTTTACTTTGACAGCTTGCGCTGAAGCTTACAGAGTTTTGTGTCAACTTGTCAGTGTTTTTTTTCAACTGTCTTTTTCCACTAGATGTACAAAATGAAATACAGCTGCTATCAAGAGTCTTCTGTTATTCATGGCTGGTTTGTTTATTCGGTTTCTGGTTGAGAAATGCGTCGCTTGTCAAAATTCGGTAATCCGATTTCGGATGGCATCGTTTTCGTCTTGCTTAATGCGTAAGAGGGTGTAAAAGTCTCAAGCAACTGTGGCCTTCCTTGATAGTTTTCAGGAATTGAATCTCGA